AAGAGAAGAGAAGAGAAGAGAAGAGAAGAGAAGAGAAGAGAAGAGAAGAGAAAACAGAGTAGAAAACAAAATAGAGAGCAGAACAGAATAGAATAATGGAATGGAATGGAATTGAAAAAAGGAATAGAATAGAAAAAGGAATAGAATAAGGCACAGAACAGAACAGAATTCTTTATTGGCTAAGGAATTTGTCTCCAGTGCAGAAACTCTCAGTGTACATACAAACAATAAAGTAATAATCATCACCACAATGATACCAATAAGAGAAGGTAGCAGAAACGATGAGAAGGGTAATCGTAATATAAAGCATGTTTATCTCCAGTTATCTCCACTGGAGCTTCTGCAAGATTAGACGGGGAAGGAGCAGAACCTGAGGGTCCTTCGGATCTGAATCCCCACCTGTCTCCCCTCTTGCAGGGCGGCACCGTCCACTGCTCGCCCACCGTTTGCCCCCCCGTGACTTGCCCCCAGCCAGAGCGGAGGCCTGGATCCTGCTGTCCTACCTGCCCCAGTGAGTAACTGAAAGGAAGGGATGGCGCACCTGCCAGCTCTTGCTTTCTCTCTCGGGAATTCCAGGTTTGGTGGGAGGGGAGGGGAGGAAGGAAAGAAAATAGAGAAAGAGAAGGAAGGAAGGAAGGAAGGAAGAAAAATAGAGAAAGAGAGGGGAGGGAGGAAGGAAGGAAGGGAAGGGGAAGGAAGGAAGGAGGGATGGAGGGGGAAGAAAGGAGGGAGGGAGAGAGGAAAGGAAAGGAAGGGGAAGGAAGGGGAGGGAAAGGAAAGGAAGGAAAGGGAGGGAGGGGAGGGGGAGGAAGGAAGGTAGGAAGGAAAATAGAGAAAGAGGAGGGAGGGGAAGGGAGGAAGTCAGGGAGGGAGGGGGAAGGAAGGAAAGGAAGGGAAAGGAAAGGAAGAAGGAAAATAGAGAAAAAGAGGGAAGGGGGAGAGGGAGGGAGGAAGTCAGGGAGGGAGGAGAGAGGGACGAAAGGAAGGGAAGGGGAAGGAGGGAGGGAGGAAAGGAGAGGAGAGGAAGGGAAGGAAGGAGAGGTAGGGAGAGAAATGAAGGGAAGGGAAGGAAGGAAAGAAGGCAGGCATTGCCCCCCCACCCGCTCTGCTTCAAACCCCTATTTGTTTAGATTGCTCTTAATCCTCTGTAACTTTAATCTCTCTTTATATTGATTGATAATGGTCTTTATAGCTCTACATCTTACTACAGTATATTGTAAACTGCCCAGAGCCATCTGGGACCGCCAGGTGGGCATCCTATCCGTGTAATAAACCGGTACATCAAAATAACAACTGGGTGGTAGAGACGAATAGCGGTGTGCGCGTGAATCTTAATCCCTCCTCCTCCCTCCCTCCCCCCCCCCGCTAGGCTGCCTTCACCACAACCAGGTGGTGCCAGATGGGGAGGAAGTCCCCAACTCGCTGGATCCGTGCCAGGTTTGCGTCTGCACCGGGGGAGAGCTAGTCTGCACCCCACGCAAGTGCGTGGCTCCCCTCTGCGCCCACCCCTTGCCGGGCTCCTGCTGCCAAAACAACTGCAACGGTAAGAGGGCAGAACCTCGCAGGGTTGCCCCAGAAAACCCGGTTCTATCCGGTGTGCAATATCCAATAAACCACACACACCGAGGTGGAGATTTAACGAATCAGAATAGAAAGCAGGGAAGCAGGGGTGGGATTCAGCCGGTTCAGGCTGGTTTGAGCGAACCGGGTGTTAAATTTACATCGGGTTCGCCGAACCGGTAGCAGGCCCTGCCTGCCTTGCCCCTCCCTTCCCAGGAGTCTCCACGTGGCCCATTTTGGATGCAGGTAAGTAAAGGGTCTGGGAGGGCAAAAATGGGCCAAACTGGAAGTTCCGGAAGTCTGTTGGGCCTGTTTCCGGCTTCCGGAGGGCCTCTGGAGCCCGGGGGAGGCCGTTTTCTCCCTCCCAGAGGCCCGAGGGAAGCCTCCGGACTCTGGGGGAGGTGAAAAACGGCCCTCCCGGAAGCGCTAGGCCACGCCCACCATGGCCACACCCACCCAGCAACCGGGCAGAGAACTGTTTGATGGGATTTTTGAATCCCACCCCTGGCTGGAAGGGATCTTGGAGGTCTTCTAGTCCAACCCGCTGCCCAAGCAGGAGACCCCATACAATTCCAGTCACAGGGCTGTCCAGTCTCTTCTTAAAAACCTCCAGTGATGGAGCACCCACAACTTCTGATGGCAAGCGGTTCCACTGGTTTAAGGTCTTCACCGTTAGAAAATTTCTCCTGAATTCCAGGATTGTTTCTCTCCTTTGATTCGTTTCCATCCGTGGTTTCTTCTCCTGACTTCTGGTGCTTTGGAAAATAAATGGAGCCCCTCCTCTTTGGGGCAGCCCCTCAAATATTAGAAAACTGCTATCATGTCCCCCCGCCCCGGTCCTTCTTTTCTCTAGATTAGATATACCCTGCAACCGTTCTTTCTGTGTTTTAGTCTCCAAGCCTTCTAATCATCTTCGTGGCTCTTCTCTGCCCTTTTTCCAAAGTCTCAACATCTTTTTTGTAACATGGGGACCAAAAGTAGACCCGGGATTCCAGGTGTGGCCTTATTAAGGGTTTATAAAGGGTTATTAACACTTCAACTGATTTTAATTCTATGCCTTTAAGATTCGATGACCCTTTAAGGAAGTGACACATTTGACCTAAACTCTCCCTTAAAGTATAATAGTGACCTCACTGCCTTTCTGCTCTCCAGAAGGTGTTAGGTGTTCTCTGAGAGCCCCGGAGAAGGCAGCAGAGCATGTGCAGAGTGTCAAAGCTCACCCATTTCCCATTCATGTGCCTGCACCTGGAATCATCTTCTTTTCACGACCCTGTAATCCCTTGCAGGGTGGAGTCTGGGCAAAACGAATGGAGCTGAGTGTTTTACTGGCCGGATGCTCATCCTGTCGCCGATGTGGAGTTTTGTTCAGCAGATATATATTCTCATTGCATCCAGGGAGAGAAATATATCTGCCTCTAACCTAGGATTGAACTCACAGCCTCCTGATTGTGAGGCGAGAGCTCCACCTCTAGGCCACCGCACCACTCATGGGCCTGCCCTGGAATATCCCTCCCCCCAAATTCCCCTCAGTTTGCAAAAATAATGAAGCTGATTTGTCTTGAAATGGTATAGAGCTGTGATGGCGAACCTATGGCATGCGTGCTACAGGTGGCACGCAGAGCCATTTGTGCCGGCACGCGAGCTGCAGGCAAACTTTATACCTCATTGCACATGTGTGGCGCCTCACGGCTGATTTTCGGCCACTTTGAGGCCTTTTTCTGCCTCCCAAAGGCTTGAGGAAGGCTTCTGCGGGCTTTGCAGGCCGAAAACTAGGCCCGTTACGTCACTAACCCATTTTTTTTTCTGAAAATACCGGAAGTGACAAAACAGGGCTAGTTTTAGGCCTGCAGAAGCCTGCAGAAGCCTCCCTCAAGCCTCTGGGTGGCCGAAAACCAGCTGTGAGGCCCTGTGCAGGTAAGGGGACAGCAGGGGTGGGTGGGGATTGAGCATGCATGTGTACGGGGCGTGGGGGGGCACGCATTACCTTCTGGGTGCTGGCACGCAAGCGCGAGCGCGCAAGTGCACACACGATTTTTGTGCACAGGAGCCCCCAAAGGTTAGCCACCCCTGGTATAGAGTCTCTTGTTCAAGTGGGGGGGTGGACTACAAAACCTCTGAGGTTCCCTTCCAACTCTGTTATTCTTACATTTTCTAACCAGGCTGCAGCTACGCTGGAAAGGAGTACCCCAATGGAGCAGACTTCCCCCACCCCGCTGACAGCTGCCGGCAGTGTCACTGCATTGTGAGTGCCCAGTGGTGGCAGGGGAAGCTGGCAGCCCCTACCCTACCCCCACCCACCCCCGATACAACAGTTCAGAGGAAGATAGGGTGGGTCGCTTCTGGGGCAGGGGAGGGGTGGGCTGCATGACCTCAAGAGTGCCTGTTGAATCAAGAAGAGACCATTCCTTCCCTCCTTCCTTCCCTCCCTTTGGCAGAATGGCCATGTGCAGTGCCTCTCCCGTCGGTGCCCACCTCTGCTCTGCCCCGAGCCCACCCTGAGACCCCAAGAGTGCTGCCCCCAATGTCCAGGTAAGACCCTCCCCCTTCTTGAGTGCCTCACCCCACAACGGGCTGGGTTTTGCCATGGAGGGCAGCCATGCCCAATGGGCTCCTACAAGGAGCCAAGGGAAACTGCGCCATGCCTCTAAACAGCCCCTTCCCCTTTTTTATAGCCCCTCCGGCTGGCTGCCTCTACTTGGGGGTCACCTACAAGCACCTGGAGCGGTTCTACGACCCATCGGAGAAGTGCCGCACCTGCGTTTGTGCCAATGGTACCATCACGTGCCAGCACCAGCCCTGTGCACCGGTCCTGTGCTCGCACCCACTGCAGCAGGGATGTTGCCGCTCGTGTGATGGTAACAGGTGGCCTCTGGCCCTTCCCCCCTGATGCCCTTGCTCACCCCTGGACCCCCCAGCCCTGGGGGGAGGGGGCTCGCTCATTCGATTTGAAGCAAGGGACCCCGACAGAGTGGCACCACACATCAGTGGGCTTTCATCTCTCCCTCCGCCCCAAACACAGCTGGGCTGGGCTGCCAGCCATTGCTCCCATGCCAGTTGGGTGCAGGATTCAGGCTGCCATGGGCCTGTGGCACCAATGGGGGCGGTGTTGCCCCAGGCAGTGTTGTGGCCCGTCAGCAGTCAGCGGATCTGGCGGCAGAGTCAGACAGTGAGAAGGTTGGGGAGGAACCTGGGCCAGTCCTGGAGTCTGGGGAAGGCTCTGCGTCGGAGGCAGAGATGGCGCCAGGGCCGTCTGACAGTTATCAGCTGCCTTCGGAGTCGGACATCAGTGGGGAAGAAGAATAGCTGGAACCTGTTCCCGATGTGCGCATGCACAGAGCTGCCAGACGAAGGGTGTGGGGAAGGCTCGGAAGAGGGCTCTGCGTCGGAGGCAGAGATGGGGCCAGGGCTGTCTGACAGTTATCAGCTGCCTTCGGAGTCAGAGATCAGTGGGGAAGAAGAACAGCTGGAGCCTGTTCCCAGTGTGCACATGCGCAGAGTTGCTAGAAGAAGGGAACAGCTAAGGAACAAGAGGCAGAGATGAGGCCAGGGAAGTCTGGTAGTTGTCAGCTGCCTTCGGAGTCAGATAGCAGTGAGGCAGAAGAATAGCTGGAGCCTGTTCCCAATGTGTGCATGTGCAGAGTTGCCAGATGAATGGAACAGCTGAGGGACAAGGGCTGACTTGGGAATAAAGCCACGGGTGGGTGGTGAATGGCCCCTCCCCTAGGGAATAAAAGAGGAGTGAAAGGGGAGTGGAGGCTTTGCAGGAGACAATTAGTTCATTTGGGTGAAGGTCTGTTCCTGCATTCTTGCCAAGTATTGTTTGCTACAGTGTGGCGTCTGAAAGATATCGGCCTGGCAACTCTCCAAGCCTGATAAATGTCTGTAATTGGGAACTAGCTTGGAAGACTGTTGACTGGGACTTTGCTGGAGAGGAAATTCATTGTAAATCAAATGAAAGGGGTTTATCGGGATGAGGACTCAGTTTAGGGGAAGCCTAGGTCAGGACATGCAGGGCGTTGTGTTACACACCCAAAACAACAGGGTGTAAAAACACGGATGCCCAGCACATTCAGAGACACACCCCTGCTCGTGCCAGCCTGTTAGAGAAAGTTTCATGGCTACCTGGGGTGCTGAACGTCATCAGCATATGGTTGGCACAGGTTACAGGGACTCCTCGACTTACAACAGTGCTGTCAGGATTCCAGCAATCGCTCTAATGAAATCATGATTCTCGAGCCAATCTTCAAAAAACTTCAAAGGATTCATTAGAGGCGACCTACTGGCCCTGCCCTGTATGAAGCCAACTCTGGCATACATCATTTACAGTCCCCTGTGATCCTGTTTCACCCCCCCCTCTCCTCGCTGGGTGTGTCATCAATCACATTCTCCAATTATGGGCTGGGTGTGTCATCAATCACATTCTCCAATTAAATATATTTGCGGGCTAAAGCTCTCGTAGTTTAGTTACAATCGTTTAAAGATAAGAGTTGGAATGTACTTTTGATTTCCCTCCTTTTTTATGGCAACTACTAAAATAGGTATAGGAATGTTTTATGAATTGACAAGTTCATTTAGTGAACCTTCAACGACACTGAAAAAAATGACCTATGACCGCTTTTGCATGCTTATGATGGTTGCAGTGTCCCAAGGATCACGTCATCAAAATTTGAACCCTTGGCGACTGCCTCTTATTTACGGTGGTCGTGGCATCCCTGGGGTGGGGGTGTTGTCATGTTATCAAAATTCAGAAGGTTGCGACTGTACTTATGATGGTTGCAGCATCCCGGAATCCCCTTTTGCGACCACCCGATGCGCAAAGTCAACGGGAGAAGCCAGATTCGCTTCATAAGCACCATCCTCACTTAACAACAGGCAGGGATTCACTTAACAACAGTTGTCAGGGCTCCAACAAATCCACCCCCATTCAAATCATAAGTCTCTAGCGGCATCTCTTAGAGTAAAAAAAAAAAAGATTTATTAAGAGTGGCCATGTTGGCGTTATCTGGGTGCAGCCGACACTAAGATACATCATTCATTTCCCCGTATGAGCCTGGTCTTCCCCTCACCCCCTGGATGTATATTCTCCAATGGGACACATCCATAGCCAAGAGTCATCCATCATGCTTTCCAGTAATAATTTTGCATGCCAACAGCTTCGGCTGCCAAGGCGATTATCTGAGGCATTTAAGGAATGCACTGCTTTCCCACGCTCCCTTTCTGCTGGCAACTAAAAAGACCGCAGGAGAATCTTTTTAGTTGACAACAGTGGCAAAAAAGGCCGTAAAAATGGGGCAAAACGCAAGGGAACAAGGGAAATGTGGGCCTTCCTTTGGGGGTCATAAGTTGAGGGGTTTGTAGTCCTCGACTTAAGACAGTTCATTTAGTGACCAAAGTTACAACAGCTCTGAAAAAAGGGACCTATGACCATGTTTCACTCCTACGACCCTTGCAGCATCCCCGTGGTCAGCAGATCAAAATTAGCAACGTCAATTTGGGGCTCATTTGTTGTAAGTCGAGGACTAACCGTAGGGTACTTCTGCTAATGGGGGGGTGGGGTCGTTCACATGCCTGGTGGCAGAGGGTTCTGCCAATGTTTCTGGGGCTCTCCTGCCCACTACCGACTTGGCTTCACCGGCGCTTCTCTTCCACCGTCACTCTCTTGCAGGCTGCCTTTACCAGGGCAAGGAGCTGCCCAACGGGGGGCAGTTTGCCGACCCCCAAGACCCCTGCCGCCTCTGCTCCTGCTGGGAAGGGGGAGTGGTTTGCAAGACCAAGGCCTGTCCTGCAGCCAAGTGCCCGTTCCCAGTGCCCGGGCCCTGCTGCCAGAGCTGTGAAGGTACGTAGAAGGGTCGGGGATCCGGGGGTAAGAGGTAAGGTGGGCCTGCCTCCAAGGGAAGGAGTCTTTGGGGGGAAAGCCAAAAATCCAGAAGCGGCAAAATGATCGAGCTCTCCAATAGAGCCGGGGTCTCCAACATTCACCACTTTAAGACTTGTAGCCTTCAATTTCACATGCCACGGGGGCGCAAAGCACGTTGGCCCCGAGGCAGCTGCAGCAGTGGCAGGGATTAGAGTGTGGCGTGAAGACCGTTCGGTGGGCATATTCCTGACCTTCAGCACTCCTGGCAAGGGTCCAATGCCGATAGCCACTGGCTGCCCTCGGGATACTCCTGTCCTGCGTGCTGGCACACTAGAGGCAGGGGAAAAGTTGGGGTGAGATTTCCAGATTTTGGGGTACCCAATCGCTTTGCCACCCAGCGTGTTTTCTACCCAATTGCTAACCAGGTTGTTCTTACCGTGGGCGACGTTTGTTGGGTTTTGGCACCGTGGGCAACATTCGCCGGGTTTTCGGCTGGGTTTGGCACATGAGGCTGGTGGACACGCCACAGGAGCGCAAAGCACGTTGCCCCCGAGGCAGCTGCAGCGGCGGCAGGGGTCTGAGGGTGGCGTGAAGACCGCTCGGTGGGCGTATTCCTGACCTTCGTAAAGGCAGCCCTCACAGAGGGGGCAGCAGGCATCCCTGGTGGTGGGCACAGGGTGGGCACACTGCTGCGGGCAAGGCTTGGGTTGGCACGTCACCGTTCCTGCCTGGAGAGAGAGAGAGGGCAAGGAGCTGGCAAGAGGGGAGGGCCACAACCGGTGGGCTGCCTCCCAGTTGAGAGACTATTCTTGGGGGAATGAGATCTGACCAGGAGTGGTGGTATTCAGCCGGTTTTGGACCGGTTCTTGCGTCCGGGTAGGGAAAATGTTGACTCACCCCACCCACCACTCCTATATTCTATTGTTTCTTAGCTCAGCTCAGGCTCCGACAATACACCCCCCATTCAAATCATAAGTCTCTAGCCACGTCTCCGAGAGTAAAAAAAAAAAGATTTATTAGGAGTGACCATGTCGGCATTACCTGGGTGCAGCCGACTCTAAGGCACATCATTCGTTTCATCCTTGACCCTGGTCTTCCCCAACCCTTGGCTGAGCTAAGAAACAGCTGATGGTCGGTGGTGTTGTTATCTGCGGAGCTTTGTTGGCTGAGGAACTCTGGGAGTTGAAGTCCACAAGTCTTAAAGGGGCCAAGGTTGGATACCCCTCCTCTATAGAGATTCTCAGTCATCCAACTCGTCAACACAGTGGGATTTATGGGCCGTTTGCAGCATCCTGCGGTCCCTGGACCATGTTTTATGACGGTTTGGCCGAAAACTGGTGCTTTCAATTTTTTTGGCAGGAATCATGGCCTTGAAACAATGGCTTCATTTTGTGACCCCAGGGTTTATTTAATGTCCGTGACATTAGCACAAATGGATGCTGCTGCATTTGCATAAAGACCATTGCAGAAAGCAAAAGTAAAACTGAGTCCTAAAATTGCACTCAAGTCATAAAATGGATCCATTCAGGCTCTGTTATGGTTATAACATGAGGACTTACTGTAGTTTGTACCCCCTCCCTCTCCTGTCGCAATAACTCAGCCCCTCTGCCCGCACTACTGACCAGACATTGGCACTCCTCGCAGGGCTGGTGTGGGGAAGCAAAGCTCTCTCCATCCCCGTAGTCCTGACCCTGGAACCTGCAGCCTGGAAAGGGGAAAAGAGGCCACTCAGAGTTGGAGTAAAGAAACCCCTTCTGGCCCTTTAAGAAGTTGGGAGGGTGGGGAATTCTGGGAGTTGAAGTCCCCCCATCTTAAAGCGGCCAAGATTGGTCATGATTGTGCTTGGCTCCTTATGGTTTTTTTCTTTTTCTGTTATGAATTTTAAAGCAACCTATAAGCAAGTGAGTGAGTGAATAGCAGCCCTGCAGATAAAGGGTGGAAGCATCTCTTGAAATCACTCACCCTGGCACAGGGGGCAGGCGCATGGGCCGGGCACGGGGTGGGCACAGTTGGCTGGTGTGCAAAGTTTCTTCATGCAATGAATCGAGCCCGCCTGCAGAAAGAGGGAGAGGAAAGGGAAGAAGGAGGAGGAGAAGGAGAGAAAAAAGAAAGAGAGAGAGAGAGAAAGAGAAAATGTGTGTGCGAGTGTATGAGAGAAAGATGATAGGTAGAAAAGATAGATAGATAGATAGATAGATAGATAGATAGATAGATAGATAGATAGA